AAACTTGTGATTTATGGGTTTGAAGATTAGAAAGGGTAGCTTATGGAAAGAAGGAAAATATGACATAACCTTAGAGAGAGAGGATAAAATAGAAATGCATGTATTACCACTGTCAAAAAGATTGGAAGCCACTTCTTTACAATCTTTTCTTTTTTTTCTTTCTTCTTCTTTTATATTTCTATTTCTTTTTCTATTTTCTTTCTTTTCTAATATTTGTATTGTTTTTATCTTGTTAAAAATTTCTTCAATAAAAATTATATTAAAAAGAAAAAAAAAGATGCACAGACATATCTACCCCAGCATTTTTCACTACTGGCCTGAACTATATAGGAGTGAGGTAACAACTTTTTTCTCTGGTCTCAAAATTTGTTGGAAAAGTACTTTTCAAAAGGTAATGTTTTTGAGCACCATAAATGTTTGGTCTACCTACCGCTATGGCAGAGTTTCTGCGGGAAGCTGTGGGGGTGGAAGGCAGGGAATTGAGTGAAGAACTGGCATTGAATTCTTCCGAACTGAGATTGTCTGAGGCATCACTGAGGCCACTGCTGATGGAACTACTTTCATCCCAACTGGAAACCAGAGAAAAGATCTGTGGTTAGCAACATTTAGCACAGAGGTACTGCTAAGCAACCAAATTGATTTTCCCTACCCAACAAGGTCCAGGAGGGGAAACCAAGGAGCAGTGACTAACAGTTGTAAAATAATAAATTGATTTGCAAACAGAGTGTTCCATCCTACTTCCCAAAACACAAAGCAAAAATAAAGCAGGAAGACTGAACAATAATACATTTAATTAATTAAAAATCACCCAATATGAGCCAAACCTTAGTAATTAAGTTCAAAGAAAAAGTTGCCAAAGACATTGACTATCTTCGGACAAAGAGTTCATGCTCTGGATCAGCTGTGTTCAATGTGGTGCTTCCACGAGTATTGGACTTTAGTTCCAATAATTCCCAGCCACCAAATACTACAATGAGTTGGGATTATAGGAATTATTCCAACATATCTGGAAGGCATGTCATTGGGGAAGGCCACTCTAAATTATTTTATTTATAGATTCATTGGACCTTAGCACTCTTTTACTATCTTAGCCAAGGTAGGCCAAAGAGTGATAAGAGGATTGATAGTTTCCACTATTTCCCCACTTAGGAGGAGTAAAGATGATTCAAAATGCCAGCTCGTGCATGACACACACAATTTCAGTCCTGAAGGTTAATAAAAGAATATAAGAAAAAATAAGGCAAATTTAACCTGATTTAATTGAATTGCAATAATTACCATTTTATAGACACTAATGTAGATGGAAAACATAGAGAATTCCTATCTAAAAATGACCTAGTAGGTTTTGAAATTACTCCTGCCCATCCTTTGCTCCAGTTCGGCAGCATTTCTTAAAATACAGAATAGAAGCAAGCAAGACAGTGTGAACACTGATTGTAAATTATCTGATTTTGGAAAAGCTCAGGAGAAGAATGAGAGAAATGGCAAGACTAAGGAAATGATAAGTATGCAGAACTGTTGCCAGTCTTCCCACATGGCACAAGGAGTTCATGAACACCCTGAACAGGAAGAAGCTTCTTTCCAGCCTAGAGGGTCTGACAGGAGCAGGTGCTTGGGAGAAGGGGAAAAAAATGTGTCTGTTTGTTTATCTCGTTAAAAGGGTTCATTCATCTCTTCTGGTACTATACACATTAAACTCCAAGATGACTAGCCCAGATGTATTCAAATAACTACAGGCCCATATCTGAGTTTCTCTTTAAAAAGGCAAATTTTCTACACATGTCCATGTGTCTTGTATGAAAAGGGCTAATTATGAAAAGGGTTAATTACTTGACTATGGATCTATATTTAACATGCAATATAGAAAAAAATAATCTGATCACATTAAAATAAGCTAGAAAGCGTGCTTATTATTACATATGAAACTATTTTTCACACGCCCAAAAATCCTCACTAACAGCTGTGAATTGCACTCCTTAGTCTCTGTGCCCAGATCTCTGTTCAATCATTAAACAGATGGTCAATGCTTGGGGGGTGGGAGGATATTTTTAAATCAGGAGACAGTGCAATAATATATATTTTTTCAAAATGTTTTTTTTTAAATTGGCAAACAACTTAAAAACAGAACAAAAGGGAAAGAGCCCCACCTTTTACAAAGAACAAGGATCTTAAATTGATGTTCCAGATGTTTTTCAAATGCACTGTCATATAACAAGCCCAATAAATTCAGCTAATTACTTTCTTTATGGGAAAGAAAATTTACTGATTCAATTTTATTTTACAGTGAAACCTTGACTTAGCAGATCTTAATGCAATGGACTTTGAATGCAATAGATGAAATTCCCATTGTATTTACATCATTTTCTGTCATGTGTGTATTTCCATTACAATGCAAATAATACATACCGATGCAAATGATGTACAGTAGCTTGTGTCATTTGCACAATGACATTGATGCAAGCAGCATGCTCCCCAATATAGACACCTTCCCCAAACCTGTTCCATTAAATTGAAGCTTCACTATACTATCTACCTACTTACCTACTATACCTATCATACTATCATACTATACGCCACCCAGAGTTGTTTTGTGTGAGATGGGTAGCTATATACTGTAAGTGTGACTAATAAATACAAAAAAAATACTATTTCCTTTTGGAGTAAGCAATTATGCAAAACACATTAAAAAAAAAGAAAGAAATAGTGCCAAAAGAATTAAAGGCATTAGATAAGAAAAGGAGAAAGAAATATAGCTAAATCTACCTAACATGAAACCATCCAGTATACCACTGCATATCTTTCTATTCTTGCAAACCATTCTGGTTTCCACCATGTCCATACACCACTTCATACATTCCCTTTTGATCTTTAAACTTCCCATCTTTTTAAAAATCTGATCAACTCCATCCAGCCATGACTTTCCCTGTCCAGTCCTTCCTCTGATTTCATTTGATTCTCATTCGTTCTTCCTATATGATCACACCACTTCAAAGTACTTCGTTTTATTCTGGTTACTTATTTTTCTTGATCCTATCTCTTCCTGTTTTGTCACACACACTTTTTAAGTACCCCATTCTCACTGCGACCTATTTATTTTTATGTTTCTTCTAACATACTCAACTCTCATTTTATGTAACAAAGTGGGCAGAAGCATACTGTTATATGCAGCCATTTTCACTTCTTTCAACAAATAATTTATTCCTTGCAACAGACCACATACTGCCCACTACCCTTCTGCCAGCATTTGCATAATGTATTTTAACAAGGTCATCCCTTTTCCTTTTCTTTAGTAAATGTTTTACAAAGGTATACAACTTCACTTATTTTTTCTAGTCCATGCTATTTACTCCAACTTCCAGTCAAACACAAATGTGTTGGTCTTCAGTACATTAATTTTCAGATCTATGCTCCACATTGCATCATATAATCCATCTAACATTCACTCCAAATCATTTGGGTTTGTAGCAATATTCTGCATATAAAAGTGCACACACATTCATGTCTACTAACTAACCACAACTTAATCTTAACCATTCCTTGCTCTTTGAATCTTTTTCCTTGTGCAGCATAGCTGTATAGTATTTTGTTTTCAATCTCATTTTTCAGATCATTTTCTTATATTTGTTTTTTTCTCACCCAGAGTCTCTTTTACTTTATCATTCCATCAAGTATCCTTGTTCATACTTCCCAATAACATACTGTATCTCTATATATTTCTGTGGCACTCTAAAATGTAACTCTTTTCACTCTGTTCCAGTTTCTACATCCTCTTTCCTTATATGTGCTTTGCACTCATTTTGTTGGAACAATAATTTATTTTCTAATACTTTTTCATACAAAACTTGTAGCTTATTTTCCTGAAGTTGTTCTACTTTCACTCTCATTTGTTTCACTTGTTTCCTTTTCTTCCATATATTTTTCCTCAAGATCAGCTCTTGACACTACCAAAAATTGCCTGTCCCATATTCAGATCTCTCACCACCCCTGTATCCTTCACTAATTCTTTCAGTCTTTCATTATAAACAATCAAATCAATTATGATTTCAGATTTCTATTCACTCGTTTGCCACATGAATACATGAACATATGTTTGCTTAAACCATACAGTATGTTCAAAACAGACATTTTTAATAACCAAATAGTCACTAAATAGCCATCTTTCACATTTACTGTTGGGTCCAAAATGTCCCAAAGTTTTTCTCTACTCTTTTGCTCAGTCCCATTCAGCTAGTCATGTCACCTAATAGAATGTTTTCCCCTGGATGTCACTTATTCAGAATGTGGCACAATATTTCCAAAAACTCACCTGTGTTTCATCCATTATCACCATTCACTGGACATATGCAACTATAATGAACTTGTGGATATCTACTTTCAAGTGCATCCACAACGACCTAGATGACACAAATTCATAGTTTCTTACATATATTTTAGCCCTTTCTTTCATTATTAAACCTAAATATTCATCCATTCTATTCCACAAGAGTAAGTCCCTTTCATTCAAATCTATTACATCCTTCCCATTTCTCACACACTTTGCTATGTTGCTGCACCAACTGGCTTACAACATGTAAATATCAAAAAACAAAGGGGCATGTGTGTCTTCGTACGTATAGTCTTACTTCAGGCTATAAAACAAACACATATTATTTACAACCTGAAGTAAGTCTTATCAACTCTGGAATTTTGTTCAATGTATCATTCTGAAGCTTTGATTTTCCTCTTCTAGAAGAAGAGAAGCCTCAGCCAATACTGCCCTTTGGTATGATAAGCAGAAGTTGGACAGATCTAGTGGTAAATTTCTGGTAATAAGCAGAAAAGACAAAGTTGTTTTGGGTCCCCAATGAGGCACTCCAATGGTTCCAACAACACCTCCACTGGCCCCCGTCAGATCCCATACCTTATCTGTTTTATTTAGATTATTCTAATTAAAATAATATTAAATGAGAACATAGCCCTGTGGCAAAGCAGAGGGGCAATCTCTTGCATTATCTTTATTTACAAGAATGTCTTTTGGCGACTACTGCCCAATGCTTTGCTGGAAAAGGTGTTTTCATACCCAATATACCCACTTGGCCATAAAAAAAAATAAAGCTGGGTTACTTGAGAACATGGGGAGAGGCTAGAGAGGATGGTGAGGAAGAACCTCACTAGTTTGCTTTCTGGTATGGAAGCATATTCTGACATAAGAGCTCATGGTACCCATTTCAAAAACCTGGGACCTGTTGAAAATTCAAGATACGCCAATTAGACTAGAAAGGATGGGGGCTCCTGCCTTTAAGAAGCAGCAGCAGCAGCAGCAAAATGACTCCTAGTGCTCCGAAACTGCTGGAACGTAGAAACTGGTTCTCATAAGCAGATTTTTACATTAAAAGACTATGAACTACATCCAGGTTCTAATTCTTAAAGCAGGTCCTGGGATTCAGAATTCTTTAATTCAAAGTACAAGTTTAAAATGTTGAGTTTATTCCAAATAATATAAATATAAAAGAGTACCAAATTAAATAACTACTCATCTAAATTGATCAGACAGACAGACAGACAGATAGACAGACAAACTGGCCGCATT